TTTTTTTTTTTTTCTTGTTTTTTCACTTTCTTTGTTCCTCGTTCTTCTTCTTAAATCACTGCACTGACAAAGATATGATTCTTTATGTAAAAGTTAATATCCCACTGATCTGTTGCAGATTAAAGTGGGGTGTTGGAAGGTTGATCTTGGAGTCACCGGTCACGCCGGTGGTGATACCAATATATCACCTTGGTATGGACGAGGTTCTACCAAATGAACCACCGTATCGATTGAAAATCCGCAAAAAGGTCACCATGAATTACGGTGAGCCAATAGATTTTACCGAATTATTAGGAGAACTGCGTGCGTCGAAAGCAAGCGAAGTGGAAGCGAGGAAAGCCATTACGGATCGTATTCAGGCAGAACTTTTAAAGTAAACTATTATTTTGATCTCAGTCATTTTTTTATGTTTTACTCGTAATGATGACAATCTTTGTATCTTTATGATCCTCTTTTTTTTTTTCCAGACTGAAAGCGATCACAGAAGAGCTTCACAGAAATTCATGATGTTTAAACAGGGAACATCCTTGTTGTCATCTAGAGTAGCTTTAATTTGCCAAAAAAATAAATTTTAATTCTAATGCGACGATAGATGATACTCATGTTCGGTTTGTAACTAAGGATGTTCACCTGTGAATGACGTATTAGTGACATATATGCAATTGTGTAATATCGGGGTAATAGTAATTTAGTTCTTTTTTTCCTTCTTTCTTTGCTTCTTTTTTTCGTGGCGGGAAAAAGAAGGAAAAAGAAAACGCTATATTTTTGGGGGAATTTTAATTTAAATATAAGTCGCGTTGACTTGGGAATGCCATATATATTCGCGTTTCGCGTTTACATCGTCGCATGCAAAATAATGTATATACGTATACATAGAAAAAAGATCGTATTGCGCAAATACTCGCAGCTATTGTTTGTAGAAGAAATTTTAACATATACGCAAATTACGGTAGCTCGTGAAATATAAAATTGAAAATGTCCGCCTTTCTCACCTTCATGTGTCAACTTTTTTTTAATATTTCAGAGCTCCGTAATTTGCAACGCGAGGGCATAAGCTTGACAATCTTATGCACAAAAATATGACAGAATACCGTGATAATTATTACATAATAAATATTCCTCGCAAACAAAAGATAATTCGATTTGTTAATACGATTAAGATCTCGAAATTGTGTAGTTTACATTGTCTTCTTCAATGAATATAATATTTGTTACAATCTTTGTATAATACACTAAACTTATTTTAAAAGTATACTAAAAAATTTTGTATGACTCCACATGATTTGAATATAGTTATATATTTAAGAAGGAAAGAAAAAAAATGATTTTAACGAAAAACAAAGATCAAGACGGATTTGATTAAAACCCAGTTTCTACTTTTTAGATTTTTAAACGCGTTTGCATAACAAGATGAAATTGTAGTGCGTACAATCGATTATCATACATTAAATAACTATATGCATACGCGTATATTTTTGATATTGTAAGAATTTACAGTATTTATATTAAAGATACTTCGAATGATAAAATATATTTCAAAGATATGCATATTTTGTATTTATTAAATTTTCATTATAGATAGTAAAATATCTTCAAGAAGAAAATTATTTTCTGCAATCTATGTTACAATCTCTATAATACGAGTATTATTAAAAGTATAATAATTTTTTATTTTTATCAATTATTTCTTACATTTATGCTCAAGAGAATACTGTTCAAGAAAAAATATGTAGAATATCGTGATAATTATTACGATAACTGTAGATTATTCCCAAACAAAAGATTCGATTTATTAACGTATTTATCAATACGATTATGATCTTAAAATCATATAACTTACATTATCTTCTTCAATAAATATAGTATTTATTTCAATCTGTTTTTAATAATTATCAATATAATCAATATTTATATTACTCTATGAAGAATAGTATTTATACGAATAATTCAACAAATTACATGTAAGATCAGTATTACATATGAAAAATTGTGACTATATTACATTGTTTCATTACGATATTCACAGATAAATCTTGTACATATATTCTTTTTTTGTATATATTACATCGTCATTCACCATTACCACATTGTTATTTGTTCCATGGAAAGATCGGATCTTGGCACATCTCTTTGCGTAGAAACAGACATAGTTTCAGTTCTACAAATAACGAAAGCAACACACAATACTCACTTTTACAAGACGAATGGAATCTATACATTAATTACGTTACATATACCATAAACTTTAAATAGACAGAACGGTATATAACACTAACGAGATAAAGTTTATGTGGTACACATTAGGTATTATCACTCTCATCTTATCACTTATCTTTTCAATTTCCTTAGAGTCACACAAATAAAATATGAAACGTGATAACCAAAAGTTCGATCGCGAAACTTGGGTTGAAACAAGTCCAAAAATATGGATCATTTTATAAATCAATAAGCCATTTTTTCTTTAATAGATTTAAATACAATAAATTTTTATTCATTGTTACTTCCTATATAATAGATACACAAATGTAACGTCTAAAGAAATATTTTTATTTTAAAATGTATTTGATACTTTTAGTTAATCTTTTACAATTTTGAATCTATCTTTGGACGGTATTTAAGAAATGAAAAATAACAATAAATAATATTTGAATATTGCTCAATTTCTAACAATAATTCTTGCTGTTAAAATACATCAATAGAATCTTGTACGTGATTATTTGTAAATTTATGATTTATAAGTACCTATTACTATGTATATATATTAAGATTTTACATAATTAGAAATAAAAATAAAATCTATATATATATACGTATATGTATATGTGTATACTATATATATAGATCTTACAAGCATCGCGATCGAAATAAAATTATAAATATCTTTGCGATTCGATGAAAAAAATAACATTCTTTTGGTATAGATTACAGTCACATGATTTCTTCCTTTCTTCTAAACCAATATGATCATTCAGCGCTATTTTCTTTGAATTATGTAACTTTATCATTTCAATGATATTCATTGGCAACTTTGCGAAGACTAGTTTTATTGAAATTACAAATACTTCCTAGTAGAGCAGCTCGTTCGTTGGTCAACTTTGAGAGATTACTTGTCACATCAGCAGGTGGTGGCATTTGTAATGGAGGTGGTGGTACAGTACTCTTAGCAGGAACTCCATCACCTTGCAGCACATCTACAGAACCTTTTGTTAAATAGATAGTAACTTTTTATAGTTCTTACATCACTTGGACACATACCATTACACTACATTTAATTTTTTGTCAATCGTACTATTTCATCCAGATATACTACACCCAATATCAGTTCATCAAAATTAATTATATAATCTACAATGCATAAATTTTTTAAAAGGAAATACATACATTTCATCACGAGATGTATCCAAGCAATAATTAAATGAAAAAAATGCATGAATGTGTAGAATTAGTGTTTGAATGATCATATGACCTACGTGAGAGAAATAAGCGTAGTATGCGCCATCAACTTTTGTGCCCAGCTAACGTAAAAATCAGGAGGATCGATTAATGTTAATTGTTAATGTTAATTGTTAAAAAAGTGATTTGATATTTACGCAGCGATGGTGGTGTTAATGTTCCAACACTAGTCGCCGTAGAAGTACTTGTAGGACTATCCGAGCGCTCCGGGCTCTTGCCGTTTATGTGTTTCATTCCATTCGCGCTCAACTGATTTGCCGAACGTTGTTCTTGAGCCAATTTTTGTTCTTTCTTCTAGAGAAATAAATACATGAGTTTGTTTCAATTTGGGAGAACAATTATGAGAGTTAAATATGTGAGAAATTTACCAGTTTCTGTTTTCGCTTTTTCATCTCTTCTTCGGAGCTCATCATTTCCTGAACTTTGACAAGCCTCTTTTGATGTCTCGCCACTTTCTGTTCGTCTTTTAGTCTTTGTTCTGCTTTATTCACTGCTTCCTGGAGGGCCTCTTTCAGATGACTACTTAATTTGAAATGTGGTCTTTCCATGGACCCAACAGCTAATGCAGCATGTTTTGTTGAGTCAAAGAACGGATGTTCCAATAGATGCGACACCGTTGGTAAATCCTGTTTTAGGGCTTCTGGTGAAAGTATCACCTCCAGCAGACTTTTCAGGGTTGCTTCGCAGTAAGGTAATTCCGAACACGTTGCTTCTAATAGCGGTCGTGCAAATGCCATTTCGTATAAGACATGTCCAAATGAATAAATATCTACTTGAGTCTGTTAAAAAAAAAAGAATATTTATAATATTAATATATTTTTATAGCTTTCGGATTATAGAGTACGTATAATATTTACCGTAGCGTGAAGTTTACGTCTTTGTACAACATAAGGCCGATAAAACGCTGGTAAACCCAAGAGACCATTTTCTATATCCAACAGTTTTGCACATTTCTGAGTCAAAAGAATGTTTCCTGTATGTAAATGTCCATATGGTAAGCCTTTTTCATGAAGAAATCCTAAAGCTTCCAAAATCTAAAACAGAAAGTATAAGATATATGTATATATGTATGTATATATGTTTAAATGTTATTTCATTATCTCAACACAAAGTATTAATTTTCTAACCTGGTAACCATACATGGCAATTTCAGGCACTGATAATGATTTAATTTGTTTTGGATTTCCATATTTCTTTATGAATGGTTGTTTAGGTTTAGTAACGCACAAAATGTCACGTAATGTACCCATTGGATAAAAATTTCTTATCATTAAAGCTCCGTTTTCAGTTACGTGTTGATAAACAATTGGTTCTATATAATTATGTTTCAATGTTCCTAAACTTTTGAAAACGCCTTGCATATCTTTATCTTGCAAGTGTTTGTCTGGACCAAATTCTACCCATGCAAGTAACAACTCTTGTTTGGGATTTTGGCGATTTTTTACAGTGTAATAATGTTTTCTCAACCTCCATCCCATATCAGGAATGGCTTTACAAACTTCAAAATTTGCATCGCTGCGTAAAGCTAGTGATACTTGCTGCAAAGCTATTTCTGAAAAATGAAAATTATTTATGAAATGTATTATATACAATAAATTTACCATTTACTAACATGCTGACTTTAGTTTCATATTTAGATAGAATATTCTTTGTACCTGTTATTTACTTGTACATACATATGACTTACTTTTAATTGCATCACTATATTTATTATAATAATTAAATCATACCATGTAACGGTGCTGTGTAATTATCCGGATCTAGAAATTTTTTCATAGGAAGCGACGATGCCAATATAGGATTCATTAGTATATTGTTTAGATAATTCTGAAACAAGTTGAAACAAAATTATAGCTAACAGATATACTTAATAATAATAATAATAATAATAATGATAATATTTCTACGATCTAACTAACCTGTAGAGCTATTTGACGTTGAGCTATGAAGTCTGGTTCCATATTACCAATAATTTTCTTTGGAGGAAGAGCCAGGTCAATACCTGATATTGATAGAGCTGCATTAAGCTGTACAAAGTCATTGTAACGTCTGCTAACTCTCCAAGATTTCTCTGGAAGTGGACCTCTTTGTGTTTTAATCACATATTCCTAAAACGTAACATAATCATGTATTTCATAAGCATATTATTCCATGCATTAATAAATAAAAACCTATAAGCATATATATGTATAAACATATTTGTACATACATATGCAATGGTTTTTGAAAACATATTATACATTTTATATAAAATACTTTAAACTGTAATAAAATATCAGCATCATGATAGCATTAATTCATGAAACTCCAGAGTTTCATATGATAGTATATATAATACATTCGTAATATAATCTATGATAAATGTTTAAATATTTTCGCAACCCACTGCACATACATGATGAATAAAGAGTAATTTAAATTATACAAAGATTATAGGGAAATCATGATAAGTTAAGATTTGTGAGTTTCTAATTTCGATGTTAATTCATAGAATACAACATTAAATACTTAAATTTTGCATATTTAATATTATAAGTTTTAGTTTTTCATGAAAGACAAGAATTATAACACACTGCGAATAGAATATCCTTGTGAAATTAATTCAAGAAAGAAAGAAAGAACTTAACTAAGGAAGAAGAAAAAAAAAGTAGATATATGGAAGAAACGTTTGACGCACGAGATAAAAGAACCGTCGAGAATGCCTACATGACGAACAATAATGCCCGTCGTTGATTCAACGATATGAGATCGGAGCAAACAGGCCGACGTGTATTATCTTCACCTTTTATCGAGCAAATGTCAAAATATACGCATTAAGCGTGCGCCGTACCGTGTGTCCGTCGATTGTTCTTGCATTTTCAATGACGCTCGTCAGCTTTTCTGTATCATCTAGCAGCACTTTATTCGTATATCGCTTCTCAAATAAAGCCATTGATCATTAATCCGACGTAGTGCAGAGCCCGTACGGGGCAAGCTGCTTGTGTCTATCGCATAGTTTTCGTAAGTCGCCATACATGACGCAATTCAGATTCATTTCAACATTGGTAAACGTGTTTTACACTTGTGAATAGTTCAACGCCACCGAAAAAGATGCACCACTGTCGATATCCCCTTAACAGTAAGTTCGATTACAGGCAAAATTTATCGGACTCTTCTTTCCTCTCAGGATTTAACACCCATCGTCTTTCACCATTTTATTATGTACGGTGCGTTTTCACAGTGGTACCACGCGACCGGATGACCACCACAATGAACACAAAGTTTCTATGCCTTTTTCTTGTTCCTTTTCTTTTTCTTTACATATGTTTCTGTCATAACAGAATGAATTTATTCTAGGTGGAAAGAAACACGGAAGAATTCGACGAGATTTAATTGAGCGATGATAACGACCAGAGAATGTTAAAACAGTTATTCGTCATGACTAAAACAGCAATATTCAATTGGTTTGTTTGGTAAAGTAAAACTTGCTTATATGACAAACAGCCAAATTGTAATGAGTAATTGTAAAATTAATTGTAATTATAAAATTATGTACTTTTGAGAGCTTGAAATTTATTCATCATTACAATAAATGTTGAAACCAGAAAATACACTATATGTAACAGAAAGAAATAACTTTATTCACATTAAAAATATACAAAAATAACGAAAAAGTTAAAGCATGAAGCAAAGACTTTATTCGGCGTGCAACTGAGGTTCACCAAATTTAATACACATGGCACTCAAAGTATTAAATATTTATAAATATCCTCTGTTAATACTAACTAATTACAATGAAATATCAGAAGACGTGACAGAATATTCATAATATTATATGAAAAGCTCATAATCTGGTGTAAGTTACTTTTGATTAAGAACAATTGAATCTTTCTTTCTTGATAACAACCCCTTCAATCAACAGTACAGTTTAGTCATTATAATTATTAGAATATAAATAACTAAAACCTGTCAAAATATATTATTAAAATGACATCACTATGTACAAATTATCAGAAATAATAGTTAAACTGTTCTATCGATTGGATAGCTCTACAAAAAGATATTTCCACGATGCAAGCAGTTTTTAATAAAAAGTCGCTTACGCTAATTAACTTTCGAGCCTTCCGTATGTTAAATCGCTGCTCGCAAATTACTCCGCGTTTTGTCATTCATTCGTTTAATAATTTCGCTTCGCGACGCGCCAGGCTCGGAGCATGTTCGAATCCTCGCGCGCCGGACGTGTACGCGAGTGTAGTACCTCGCCGAGTCGTCATAACTTCCGGCCGTGCTTTTGCATCCTTTTTTCCCCGAACCGTCGTCTGCCGTTGTAATCATTACACCGTGGTGATAGTACAACGAAGTGAAGTAGTGTCAGAAGTGACGACTGTCGAGTCCGTTTTTCCTTCGAAGTTACCGAGAAGTGATAGCCGTTTTCCTCGTACGTCCGCCCGCCTGTAACAGGTAAACGAAATAAACGTTCGTTGCGCGTGCCTGTAGTCGGTACGTGGAGCGAAAATACCTGCGGCCGTTGGAATTGGCTGTGATTGCGGGAAGAAAGAAGACTCTCTTTCTTGGAACTTCGTCTCGCGTCGTGCGGGAATACGGTGTGTGCAGTACGTTGACGATGACACGATCGAATCTGCTCCCGTTGATCGGACACACGGGGCCCGATACGTTTCCCCTCGGCTCTGGTTGACGGTTCTGTCCCTTCGTTCGCACGGAATAAACAGCCCCTGCAACCGCGTGATCCGAACGTTTGACGTCGGTGTTCTTCCTCTTCTTCTTCTGCGTCCTTTTTTTTTTCTTTTT